GGGTTTGAACCGCCAGCCTTCTCGTTAGCAGTCAAGTGCTTTAGCCACTATGCTACCAGAGCTCCTTTAGTTTTGTGTATTTCACTGTACATAAATTACATTTCAATAAAATACATTAAAAAAAAAATAAAAACCAAACTCACTGCCATCGAGTCAATCAAAAGAAAAAAAAGATGCTGTTTGAGTGGTCAAAGTTTCTGAAAATTAGATTAATGCTACAGTAGATTTTCCATAAAACACAAAAGACTGGGTGAAGGGATAACAGGGAGTAAGATTTGAGAAGATAAGTACCACAAGAAAACTACTAAATGTAGTAAAGTGACAGGGTACAAGGTCAACACTCCAAGAGGTCAGGATTTTATACATCATCAATGAACCATTTGTAAAGGAAGTAAACAATTCCATTTACAATAGTATCTAAAACAATAAAATACCTAAGAATAAATTTAAACCAGAAGTGAAAGATATACCAAAAATTAAAAAACATTTCTGAAAGGAATTAAAAACCTAACACACAGAAAGATGTATTATGTTCATGGATCAGAAGACTTGATGTTGTTAAGATGTCAATTCTATCTAAAGCAATTTATAGATTCAATGCAATATCCATCAAAATTCCAACAGCCTTCTTTGTAGAAATGGAAAAGCCTACTTTAAAATTGATATAAACATCAAGGGGCCCTAAGTAGCCAAAGCAATCTTAAAAAAGAAGAACAAAGTAGGACAACTGAGATTTTCTGATCTCAAAACATATTATACAACTATAGCAATCAAAACACTCTGGGACTACTGTAAAGATAGACAACAACAACACAGATCAATAAAATAGAACAGAGAGTCCAGAAATTAAACTATGTACCTATGGTCAACTGATTTTTGACAAGAATGCAAAGTCAATCCAATGGTGAAAGAATGGACTCACTGATAAATGATGATTGGGCACTCACTATTTGTGGGATTTCCACAAACAAAAGAATGAACTTAAATCCATACCTCACAACATATATATTAAAAAAAAAAAACTTAAAATGAATCAAAGACTTAATGTAAGAACTAAAATGTGTAGTTTTCGAAGAGAGATGTTTATGGACAATTCCAAAAGCACAAGCCACAAAAAGCAAAATACATCAATGAGACCTCATCTAAATTTAAAACTTTTGTTCATCAAAGGTCTTCATTGAGAAAGTGAAGAGAAAACCTACAGAATAGGAGAAAATTTTTGGAAAATATGTATCAGATAAGTAAAGTAAATATGTATCAGATATGTAAAGATATTTTAATATCCAGAATATATAAAGAACTCTGACAATGTACAAAAAGACAAACACAATTTTAAAAATGGGCAAAGGATTTACACAGACATTTCACAATGGAATACACATACTCAACAAGCACATATAAAGATACTCAACATCATTAGTTATTAGGAAAATGTAAATGCTAAGATATCACTTCACACACTAAGATGGTTGTGAGTGAAAAACTGCGAACAACAGGTGTTGGCAAGAATGTGGAGAAACTGGAACTCTCACACACTGTGGTGGGATTGTAAACTGGTGAAAACAATTTAGCAGTTCCTCAAAAAGTGAAATAAAGAATTATCATATGACCAGCAATTCCACTCCTAAGTATATAGCCAAAAGAATAAAAAATACAAATGTAAACAGACACTTCTACACTGATGTTCATTACAGCACTATTCACAACAGTCAAAAGGTAGAACACAGACTGAATATCCATCAACAGATTAATGGAAAAACAAAACATGGTGAGTAAGTGGTTGAATTTTCGCCTTCCATGAATGAGACCCAGGTTGGATTCCTGGCCAATGCACCTCAACTACTGTACCACTCATCTGTCAGGGAGGCTTGTGTATAGCTATGAGGCTGGAACAGGCTTCAGCAAAGTTTCCAGACTAGGAAGAAAGGCCTAACTATCTACTTCCATGATGATTACAACTAAGAAAACTCTACGAACAGTTCTATTTTGTAATACTTGGGGTCACCATGAGTCAAAATCAACTCAGTGACAATGAGTTTGGTGTGTTGGTTTTTATAGTTTATTTTTTAGTGGTTTTCTTTGCTTAATAAAGACCAAAGTTTATTAGTGATTATTATGGAAAGGCAGAGGGAAGAGAAAAGGGTAAATATATTTAGCACAATTAAAAAGAAAACAGTGCATAGATAGATAGAGGTACAGTAGCTACTTGAAAGGGTTCTAACAAAGAAACAAAATGACCATATGAGACAATGTTTCACAGCAATAAATCTATTCCACCAACTTTGTTCCTCTGGTTATTACTAGAGTTCAGGACTGTAAGTTCTCCAAAAACTTTTCAAACAAAGCAGACTGGGGGGGGGTGGATAACGTGAAGGAAGATGAAAAAACAGATTCATACCTCAAAAAAAGTATTTTAAAAGAAAGAAAGAAAGATTAGACAATAGCTAATAGTTTTTGAAGCTAGATTATGGGTACATGGGAGTCCATCGTACTAGTCTTTGTTTCTGTTTGAAATATTTTATAATTAACAAAAATTAGTACAAAAAGGTGTTTAACAAAAATTATGAAACTAAAAATAAAAGTATATGAAACTGAGTAGACACTATCTTCAACTATATAATTGAGTATCAACAGAAAAGGGTAAAAGTATGTTATGGAAGTGGCAACTTTTCAGAATCTACTTCAGATATAAACAGCTTTTTTTTTTTTTTAAATCACTAACGTATATGTTATTGTTGTTGTTGTTCGGGGCCATCTAGTTGACTCCGATTCATAGCAACCCTATCTATAACAGAATGAAACATTGCCTGGTCATGCACCATCCTCACAATCCTTGCTAAAGTTGAGCCTACTGTTGCTGTGTCAATCCATCCTGTTGAGAGTCTTCCCCTTTTTGACTAAAGCTCTACTTTACCAAGCATGATATCCTTCTCCAGGGAATGGTCCCTTCTGACATCACCAAAGTAGGTAAGATACAAACTGGCCATTCTCGCTTCCAAGGAACATTCCAGCGTCACTTCTTCCAGGACAGATCTGCATCTCATTCTGATCTCATTCTTCTGGCAGTCCATGATACTTTCAGTATTCTTCACCAACAACACAACT